GGTGCCTCAAGGGTCGTGCTTCCATGGTGGTGCTTCAATGGTGGTGCTTTAATGGGGGTACCTCAAGGGCGGTGCCTCAAGGGCGGTGCTTCAAGGGTGGTGCATCAAGGGTGGTGCTTCAATGGTGGTGCTTCAATGGTGGTGCTTCAAAGGTGGTGCCTCAAGGGCGGTGCATCAAGGGTGGTGCTTCAATGGTAGTGTCTTTAAGGTGGTGCCTCAAGGGCGGTGCATCAAGGGTGGTGCTTCAATGGTTGTGCATCATTGATGGTGCTTCAATGGTGGTGCTTCAATGGTGGTGCCTCAAAGGTGGTGCCTCAAGGGCGGTGTTTCAAAGGAGGTGGATCCAGGGTCGTGCCTAAAAGGTGGTACATCAAGGGTGGTGCATCAAGGATGGTGCTTCAATGGTGGTGCATCAAAGTCGGTGCATCAAAGGTTTTGCATCAAGGGTAGTGCTTTAATTGCGGTGCCTCAAGGGTGGTGCCTCAAGAGTGGTGCTTTAATTGTAGTGCCTCAAGGGTGGTGCATCAATGGTGGTGCCTCAAAGGTGGTACATCAATGGTGGTGCATCAAAGGTGGTGCATCAAGGGTGATGCATCAAGGATGTTGCTTCAATGGTGGAGCTTCAATGGTGGTGCCTCAAAGATGGTGCCTCAAGGGCGGTGTTTCAAAGGAGGTGGATCCAGGGTCGTGCCTAAAAGGTGGTACATCAAGGGTAGTGCATCAAGGATGGTGCTTCAATGGTGGACATCAATGGTGGTGCATTAAGGGTGGTGCATCAAAGGTGGTGCATTAATGGTGGTGCCTCAAAGATGGTGCTTCATTGGTGGTGCATCAAAGGAGGTGGATCAAGGGTCGTGCCTAAAAGGTAATACATCAAGGGTGGTGTATCTATGGTGCTGCTTCAAAGGTGGCGCCTCAAGGGCGGTGCTTCAAGGGTGGTGCATCAAGGGTGGTGCTTCAATGGTGGTGCTTCAATGGTGGTGCCTCAAAGGTGGTGCCTTAAGTGAGTGAGTGAGTGAGTTGGGTTTAACGCCGCTTTTAACACTATTCCAGTTATATCGCGGCTGTGGTGCCTTAAGGGTGGTGCTTCCATGGTGGTGCTTCAATGGGGGTACCTCAAGAGCGGTGCTTCAAGGGTGGTGCATCAAGGGTGGTGCTTCAATGGTGGTGCTTCAATGGTGGTGCCTCAAAGGTGGTGCCTCAAGGGCGGTGCTTCAATGGTGGTGCATGAAGGATGGTGCTTCAATGGTGGTGCCTTAAAGGTGGTGCCTCAAGGGTGGTGCTTCAATGGTGGTGCTTCAATGGGGGTACCTCAAGGGCGGTGCCTCAAGGGCGATGCATCAAGGATGTGCTTCAATGGTGGTGCTTCAATGGTGGTTCCTCAAAGGTGGTGCCTCAAGGGCGGTGCATCAAGGGTGGTGCTTCAAGGGTGGTGCCTCAAGGGCGGCGCTTCAAGGGTGGTGCTTCAATTGTGGTGCTTCAATGGTGGTGTCGCAAAGGTGGTGCCTCAAGGGCGGTGCAACAAGGATGGTCCTTCAATGGTGGTGCTTCAATGGTGGTGCCTTAAAGGTGGTGCTTCAAGGGTGGTGCCTCAAGGGCGGTGCTTCAAGGGTGGTGCATCAAGGGTGGTGCTTCAATGGTGGTGCTTTAATGGTGGTGACTCAAGGGCGGTGCATCATGTAGGTGCTCCAAGGTAGGTGCTTCAATGGTGGTGCATCAAGGATGGTGCTTCAATGGTGGTGCTTTAATGGTGGTGCCTCAAAGGTGGTGCCTCAAAGGGTGGTGCTTCAATAGTATCGTCAAGGGTAGTGCCTCAAGGGCGATGCATCAAGGTTGGTGCTTCAAGGGCGTTCTTCAATGGTGGTGCATCAAGGGTGGTGCATCAAGGGTGGTGCTTCAATGGTGGTCCTTCAAGGGTGGTCCATCAAGGGTGGTGCATCAAGGGTGGTGCTTCAAGGGTGGTGCCTCAAGGGTGGTCCATCAAGGGTGGTGCATCAAGGGTGGTGCCTCAAGGGTGGTGCTTCAAGGGTGGTGCTTCAATGGTGGTCCTTCAAGGGTTGTGCATCAAGGGCGGTGCATCAAGGGTGGTGCTTCAAGCTGGTGCCTCAAAGGTGGTGCCTCAAGGGTGGTGCCTCAAGGGCGGTGCATCAAGGGTGGTTCTTCAATGGTGGTGGCTCAAAGGTGGTGGCTGAAGGGCGGGGCTTGAAGGGTGGTGCATCAAAGGCGGTGCATCAAGGCTGGTGCCTCAAGGGTGTTGCTTCAATGGTTGTGCATCAATGGTGGTGCTTTAAGGGTGGTGCCTCAAGGGCAGTGCATCAAGGGTGGTGCTTCAATGGTGGTGCATCAATGGTGCATCAAGCCTGGTGCATCAAGCCTGGTCCATGTCGGACTGAACATTTCTGACAGATTTTCTTGGAGAAAAAACAGTAAAAGCGCTTGATTTTAACGGACCAGTTTTCTTTAAAGCGATATACTGTGACACTATAAAGGGTTGTATAGGTAGATATAATACTAATCTACAGATGTAAACACATGTGATGATACATCTTTGTGTTTAAAGTTGATTTTGACAGCCCGGGCAAAGTCGGACCCAACACAAGCCAAACACTTCTGATAGAGAATATGTTGAGAATGTAAAGGGAAAAGGGCTTCACTTTGAGCACCTTGTTTTCTTTAAATACCGCGATCTGATACACTGTAAAGTGGTATATAGGTAGATAGTATACTAGTTTATAGATGTGAATACATTTGCTGTGTTTAAAGTTGATTTTGACAGCCCGGGCCAAGTCGGACCCAACCTTGTTTTCTTTTAATACCGCGATCTGAGACACTTTTAAGTGGTATATAGGTAGATATGAAACTAGTTTGTAGATGTGAATTCATTTGATGATACATCTGTGAGGTTTAAGTTGATTTTGACAGCTTGGGCTAAGTCGGACCGAACACTTCTGATAGAGACTATGTTGAGAATGTAGAGGGAAAGGGGCTTCAGTATGAGCACCGTGGTTTCTTTAAATACCGCAATATGAGACACTAAAGTGGTATATGGGTAGATATAATACCAGTCTTAAGATGTGAAGAATGTTTAGTAACTTTAGAAGAGCTAGGACAGTTATTAACACGTGTCGTGTCAGCCCTATGACATTCGCGAACATCCACTTCCAGTAAACATCATGAACTAGTAAAGGTTAATTAGGGATGCCCAACACGTTAATTAACGAGTGAGTGAGTGAGTATGGTTTTACGCCGCTTTTAGCAATATTCCAGCAATATAACGGCGGGGGACACCAGTAATGGGCTTCACACATCGTACCCATGTCGGGAATCGAACCCGGGTCTTCGGCGTGACGAACGAACGCTTTAACCACTTGGCAACCCGACGGCCCCGTTAATTAATGAAAGAAGAGTAGTCAAAACACTGTCATTTCCAGGACATCACACCCCTACATGCTAAGGTCGGGGAGAAAACTTCTCACCAAAGACAACACACAGTCAAGACACTGACTTTTCAACGAGGACTCACGGTTTGTAATCATAATTATCAGTTTATTGCATTGTTAAAGATGCATTTTGATTCAAACTCAATTAAATGAGCAAAACTATACGTTTGTGGACATTTGAGATCTGCCTAGATACGAACGTTTCGTTTTAATATTCTGCAAAACATTTTTTGTATTACCAGCTGGCCCGCCCCGGCCCGATTTTTCTTGGCCCGACTTCTAGGCAATCCCTCAAACGAAGCAGGATGGCAACCCCGATCTAAGAAGCGGTTCAACATTAACTGGGAATGATAGAGCCTGCTGGTACAATACGATTACCAGTGAAACTGGGTATGACTGAACAACCGCGTTTTTTAGGCTGAAGACTAGCCGGGTACTTTGACACGAGGAATCTGCATGGTTTGACCTGTCAATTATAAGCTTTCACGTATTCAAAGCCAGAGTTTGAAAGCAATGAGACATTTGTGACCAAGAAATAGTAGTTTGTGTATGATTTTCTTAATTTTGCATGTTCTGTAATGAATTTCATCACGTTTGATAAGCTGTGACGTCAGTGATGTCGGGACATTGTTTTGATGGCCTGTCGAATGGAGGGGTGTTTTCTGATGGATTTTCAAAAACCGTCCTGCCAAATCCTAACGGTGGAGATTGCAATGAATATCAAACACAAAAGGGTTTGTAAACAACATGTTGTCACAAATAAAGTTTCTTCAAACACATTTTTATTATGTTATATTTTACTTTCATTGTCGGTTGTTTCAATGATAATCGAAATTACCTATTCTAGTCTGTTCGCTTCAACATGTCCCTGACAGTTTCATAAACATTTCATTTGTATACAAAAGATATGCCTTCATAGATTCTTGTAATCTCATCACCAAAGCAGTCAGGATTACGGCCTAGAACAATATTTCGTCACCAAAGACATCTGTTATCTTCTGTATTTCTTCAATTGGACGCTAGGCCGTGTATTAATTTCGCGAGGGCCATTGACATGACATGTATTGGAGACCTGGCTTGTATTAGAGACCAAGCGTGTAACAGAGGAAATATCAATTTGTTTCACAGTGGTTGGCAGCTATTTTTTTATGAATTGAATTTGTAGGCTATCGATGTATTCATGCGCACGTTTTTTGTGTGAAATGTCTTAGTGTATTTAAAAGGGGTACCCGTAGCAAAAAAAGCCCCTCTTTTGAACCAGTCAGAATCGAGCATTCTTCAATGTCATGGTAGAATTTCATTTCGATCAAACTTTGGGTCACATCTTCCATTTTGAAATTTGTCACTGAGATGGGATAGACTTCACTGTAAGTATCTGCCGTTTCATTGTTATACCTACCACTGAACCGCCAACCGCACACCCCCCACACCCCCACCACCCCCAAACACACACCCAACCCCCTTCCCACCACAACTCCACACCACACACCACCCCTCCAGCTGACAGAAAGCGTTTAATGATCTTCATACAACTAAAGAAAATATCATAATGCTACTTACTCAGGCACGGACACTGTTCATCGATGATTTCAAGGGCACTATTAATGCCGTGGGAAATGTTGGCCAGTCTGTCACAGAGGGCTTGAAGCTTCTGGTTTACACGACCTGGTACTGGGCAATTTGATGAATTTCCAGAGAGTGTTCCGGCTGATGCTTGTTGGGCGAGGAAGGCCAGGAGGAGGCACGGGAAGTAGTTGGAGGAGAACATCATTGTGATTCTTCAAACAGCTACTGACAATTATCAAAAACAGACCTCATTTATGCTGTATGAAACTGCCCTTGTGAAGTCACATGGTTGTACAGACACTCGTGGTTAGGTCCATCTGGTGTCAATTGATTTAGTGAAAGAGAAGTTGCTCGTATATTCCTAGTTTTAAGTAACAGCTCGTAATTTTGTGTCAATGAAAAAATCAGCCTCCATCTGTTTGAAACAAAAATATGTCTCGACCGCAATACGGCCATCTTATCAATACAGAGAGACATGGCCCTGAGAGACAATATGCCTGTAACCCTTATTTATTAATAATCATTTCAAATCTTCAAATTTAAAAGGTCATAACAGGTGTTGACTGTGATGGCAAATGGCCATTAAGCATCATATACCCTCATAACTGACGAGCAACAAAACATTACCAATCAACATAGTTTTGTTCCTAAAAACAGAACAGGAAGATACTTGAATTCCAAGTTACGCCATGAGAATTAATTACCCTTTTGCAGATTAAGATGTATCAGTTGTGAGGATGGAGGGTTTCTTTTGGTCGGGATATGCAAAGTTGTGGGTTGTTGTAAGGGCTTGCTTTACCTTTTCGAATGTCTGTTGGCATATGTTGGACCATTCGAAAGACGCATTGCCTATAGAGGGGAGGCAATGCCAGAAAGATTTGCTGCACATTTGTGATAATACGAGGCCAAATCTAAGAAATGACACATGTCGTTGACAGTTTTAGATGGTGGGATCTCTGTGAATAAATCTATATTTGAAGGAACGACATGGATGCCATCTTTTTCTGAAGATATGCCCTAAGTAGTAAATTTACATTTACTCGGTTTTAGAGTGAGTTCTACTTCTTTGATCTTATGGAATACTGCCTTGAGGTGATTCAAGTGTTCCCAAAACGTTTAAGAAAAGATTATGTCATCTACATTACCTCTGAAATGCCATAGATTCCACACATGTCATAGGGGCATTTTTGATGCCGAAAGGGGGCGATTCCATCCAAAAAAACCATCGGGTGTAATTTAGGCCGACTTGTGTTTTGCATCTGGATGGAATGGTTTTTGCCAAAAGCCTCTAGCACAATCAAGCACACTAAAATATTGGCAGAGGTGGTAGAGGGAAAAATATAGGTTTGGTAACTGCATTGAAGCATCTTTAATGTACGGCAAAGCAGTAAGACCTATCACGTTTTTTAACCATGACAATAGGAGAGTGCCATTCAGAAGAACCGGACTGAGTGATATTGGCTTCAAACATTTCTTGCATCTGTCTGGAACATTCTTCTTTACTGTGTTTTGCCTTTAAAATGGGAGCCTAATGGGTCTGGTGTTACCTGTGCCTATTTTGTGATGATGTAAATGAGTGTGTCCTAATTCTGACCACTCTGAGGCAAAAACTGAGCTTTGTGCTTGGAGAAATGCATTTTACTGTGTACTTGGACTTTTAATATACTCAACAACAAAAGTTCCTGTGACACGAATATTTTAGTGTAATTTTGAAACAAGTAAAGTTTGGTTTTCAATATTGTATTAAATATTGGATCAAGTCACAAGAATGCATTGGCTACAGGAAACAGGAAACCACCTTCAAGAACGTCTGCAGTTGTGCAGACAGCGTCTACGCTGGACGTCCATGCAGTGAGGACAAGCTCTATTCACTGACGAGTCTCGTTTTCACCTCAGCCATGTGTCATGGAAGAAGATCGGTTCGGGGGCGGCAGTGTTATGGCATGGAGCGGGATTACAGCAAGACAGAGGACCCATTTGATAGTGGTAGAGGGAAATCTCAATGGACAGCGCTTCTGCGACGAGATAATCGTCCCTGTTGTTCAACCGTTTCAACATGACAATGCCCGACCTCCTATTGCTCGACTTCTTCAGAATTCTCTTCAACAAAATAACGTGAATGTCATCCCCTGGCCGGCTGGCTCCCCTGATCTCTTACCAATCGAGCACATGTGGGATGAGATGGATCGGCGCCTTCGACGTCAACCACGTGTTCCACAGACACTCCTGGAACTTCGAAACATGCTCCAGCAGATATGGACAGATATCCCACAGGACTTTGAGCGACGCCTGGTCCATTCCATGAGACGAAGATGTGTTGCTTGCATCGCAACCAGAGGTGGACACACACGCTATTGATTTGTAAATTGACATTTTGGCATGTTCAACATTTTTAATGAAAACACGCATTTTCTGAAGTCAGTATGGCAAATTAAACTATTGGAACACATACAGGAGTCTTTTATCTGTTGATGTCGACGATGAAGTATCACTTCAAACTCAAGTTCCACTGATCTGGGTAATGTAGCACGTGCACTACTCATCAAACTGTTGTGATTGTGTTTAGGCGATTGATTCCCAACCATTTTGTAACACTATTTATGAGTTAGACCCAACATGCAATCTTAGTAATTGAAAAGTATATTCCTCCAGTAGTTGTGAGTACAAACATGTCAAGTTGACAGGTTTTTGCTACACATGGTGTAAAAAATTGTCTTTTATTTATTGTTTTATAAAATGCTTTATTATACACCTATTTCATTGTTCTGTTATTATTGACATTACTAACATTCCTTCCATAGATGGAATTTGAATTGTGCTGCCAAAAAATGTCAGCTCTCTTTTCAGGAGAAAAAATATATCTCAGGCTCTAGAAATGAAGATGAAAGCCTTCTTCTAGTTGAAATGTCTAGACTCCCATTGTTTCATTGATGTTATCACTGAGGATGTCCAGCTTTTCACATATTATTATCTCAGTAAACTTCAGATGGCATTTGTTTTCTTTTTGACAAACTGACCTGTATCTCTGAAGATAGATATGTAACTGTATCTGTGTTCAATACTTTTTGTAACAAAAGCCCCGTTGATCAAGGAATGAAGTTTCTCATGTGGTATGGTGGTGTACAGAGTCACACGACTAATTCAACAACAGACATGCACTCGTGACCCAAGCAATCTGACATACCATGTTGAGAGCTCACGGCAAACATACAGTCCAAGCACGGCCTGTGAAATACCGTATTTGACGTAATAAGCGCCCAGGGCCTCTCAAAATGGGATATAGGGGGCTCTTATTAGAATATAATTTTTGTGGAAAAAAAACAGAGTTGAAAGATAAATGTCATGGTTATGCTGACAGCCTGAAATGTTTATGTATGACAGATATATTTTTTCCAGAATTGTATTGCCCATAATTAAGGGTGTATATAGCACACGAGTGCGTATTACAAGCAAATAAATTTGTCTTTTGTACATTGATTAATCTGAAGGGGTGCTAATTGGGATTGTTCACCAGCCAATATATCAGCAAATGTCGCCGTGGGCGCTTAGTACTTCGAATACGGTATAGGTCTTACTTGATATTATCACTGCAGTGAACATAACACTTGATATTATCACTGCAGTCAGCATAACACTTGGTAATTCACTACAGTGAACATTACATTTGATATTTTCACTGCAGTGAACAAAACACTGTGTTTTTCACGGCAGTGAACATAACACTTGATATTTCCACTGCAGTGAACATAACACTTGCTTAAAGTCCGTTTTCAAGCAGTCGATAGCGCAGACTGTGCTCACACCCTACATAGACCTAGACCATTCGAAATTAATTCTGTTGCGTAACACTCCATAACCCATAGGTGAGAGTTGTCGACTTTGCGTGGGTCCAAGTTGACTCAAAGAGGATACCCAGAGATGAAGTTGTCGACTTTGCGTGGGTCCAAGTTGACTGAAGGAGAATACCGAAAGATGCAGACGTCGACTTTGCGTGGATCCAAGTTGACTCAACGAGAATACCCAGAGATGAAGTTGTCGACTTTGCGTGGGTCCAAGTTGACTCAAAGAGGATACCCAGAGATGAAGTTGTCGACTTTGCGTGGGTCCAAGTTGACTGAAGGAGAATACCAAAAGATGCAGTTGTCGACTTTGCGTGGATTCAAGTTGACTCAACGAGAATACCCAGAGATGAAGTTGTCGACTTTGCGTGGGTCCAAGTTGACTCAAAGAGGATACCCAGAGATGAAGTTGTCGACTTTGCGTGGGTCCAAGTTGACTGAAGTGAAGTACTTGGAGCTGCTGTTGTCGACTTTGCGTGGGTCCAAGTTGACTCACATAAAATACCAAGAGATGCAGTTGTCGACTGAAGTGACTGTTGACTGAAGTGAAATACAGAGAGATGCAGTTGTAGACTTCGCGTGGATCCAAGTTGACTGAAGGGGAGTATCTGAATTGCAGTTGTCGACTTTGTGGGGATCCAAGTTGACTGAAGTGGAATAGCCAGTGATACAGTTGTCGACTTCGTGTGGATGCAAGTTGACTCACATAGAATTCCCAGAGATGCAGTTGTCGACTTCGTGTGGATGCAAGTTGACTCACATAGAATTCCCAGAGATGCAGTTGTCGACTTCGTGTGGATGCAAGTTGACTCACAAAGAATACCCAGAGAGACAGTTGTCGACTTCGTGTGGATGCAAGTTGACTCACAAAGAATACCCAGAGATGCAGTTGTCGACTTCGTGTTGATGCAAGTTGATTCACATAGAATAGCCAGAGATGTAGCTGTCGACTTCGTGTGGCTGCAAGTTGACTCTAATAGTATACCCAGAGATTCATTTGTCGACTTCGGGTGGATGCAAGTTGACTCACATAGAATACCCAGAGAGGCAGTTTTCAACTTTATACGGATCCAAGTTGACTCAAATAGAATACCCAGAGAGGCAGTTGTCGACATCGTGTGGATCCACGTTGACTGAGGTGGAGTACCCACAGGCGACTTCATGTGGTTCCAGACGGCTAGATTCAAGGTGTGGTTCCAGACGTCCAGATACAAGGTGTGGTTCCAGACGTCCAGATTCAAGGTGTGGCTCCAGACGTCCAGATTCAAGGTGTGGCTCCAGACATCCAGATTCAAGGTGTGGTCTCGACATACCAAAATGCAATCAGAGACCAAATACTTTAAGAGGTACATCCTTTTATACCAAAGAAATCAACAGATAATTTCGGTAGCAGTGACTACGTACGTACTGCTTCCCACGATATGGTTGCTCCATTTTTAGAAAAAAACAAAGTTGAAAAGTCA